GACGAATTTCTCAGAACAATAAGAAACGTTGACGAAACACTCTTCAAAATCTAAAATTTCCATCTCATTGCTGCGTGCTTAGCCACAATTCAGATTTTGAGTTCAACATTTCTGATTAATTCCAACTTCCATCAAATGTTGGGAACATAAATGAGGATATATATCTAGAACATGCTTGTGGAACGATACGTTCATGAAACAAACGTACTTGCAAATCGAGCACAATGTAATTCACATTCCTTCAACGTGAAGAAATGATTCCTATTTCCAGCACAACCGCCATACTCGAACTGGTCACATGTGCCAGTGTTCACATTGAAATAGAATCGTTTCACTGAGTTCTTGCATGGTCCAGAGTCCTGAATTTATGACATGAGTTATGACCATGTGAACGTCGATCACAATGATCAGCATCATTATGAATTTGCAGTAGTCCATTTTTCTACCGTCCTTCGACTCAGCATTCAGTAGAAATGAACATAACGTAGTTCAGCGACTAGAGTTGAACCGATAAAAGTGGATCAGTGAATCTGAACAAATGAGTTGAACTCGTGGAATTCAAAGGAAGCAAAACATACCACTTTTTGTGTGCATCTTTCAGTAATCTCAGCGACATTTGGTATTCCCGAATGTTCTGAAATTGTTAATCATTGGTTAGATATCCTTGACGGAAGATATCAAAGATTTTAAAAAAAGTTTGTTCCTCTTAAAAATGATTCTTTGATAATCAATTTTATGTGCTTTCTTTTACATGCTGGGCAATACTTACTGAACACATCATTTACTTACATAATTATAGGTTTCTAAAAATTATAATATTGATGTGATATTGACATGAGTTTATTCAGAAATTGAAGCTCTAGAAGAGTTTAGGGCTAGTTGGATTCATAAAGATAGAAAAAGAATCCTAAAAGGAAGCGATCATCAATGAACCTTCTTGGGCGGGTGCGGGAGGCGACGGAGGAGAGGGTGATTGTGGTGGTGATGGAGGCGCGATATTTTCTTGATTGTTAGCGGGTAGCTGGTCAGTGGATGGTGGCACAGGTCCACCAGCGTTCGGTGGAAGCACTGGACATACGCATTCTTGACAGCCACGACGATTCGTGAAGATAATGCATGGTTCAGCACACATCAACACGTCAATCGGAGGACATCCTGCAATTAGCATTTATTGGTATGTTAATCGAAAAGAGTTCAGCTGATAATCACAACAAAAACAATCATGCGGCATTCATCGCAATGGGAAATTTTGCCGGACGAATGTGATTATTGAATGAGCGAGAAACGTTTACAGTATGGAGTCAATGACTAAATAAGCGTGAAGTTATGAAATGAAAATGAAAGGTTTTAAAAGAAGTCATCCATGAGGATGACGCCGTGAAATTTTTGTAAAAAACTCTTGATTGCTATTGTTCAATGATTCAAGGTGATCGAAAAGTTGACTTAGATATCTTATGATCTGCATTTTATTGACCAACTAGTAGAAGAATGATCCGCAAGGAAACTGGAACCGACAATTGAGTCCGCATCTGTTCAGTGGAACAGAACAGTTGGGGACCGATTTCAGTTCCAGGTGTCGGATTTCTCGCTGTGGGCTATTTTCTTACTGGTTGACTAATATGAAAGCTATCGATAATAATGAATACCTTGTGAGGGCTGCTGTGGTTGAGTAGAGTCTGGTGGACAACTACAGAACGAACAACCTTGTGCATCGTTCACCAGTTGGCATCGACTGAGATCGCATTGCGGCTCTGGTGGGCAACTCACTTTAAATTTGCATTTATAACAGAATTTGTGGAACGAACGGCAAAACCAAGTACATTAATGAACAATCAGATGAAAATTTGCATATTTGAGATCGACGTTATTGAGTTATTGAGATATATTGAGATATATGTATTGAGATATCCATCTTGAGATATTATTCGAGCATATTAATAGTGAAAATGTTCTCTTGCACTCTAAGAACATTCTAGCATCCGAGCAGCATGAACAATGAAATAAATACCTTTAACACATTTTGCTCTACAGTCAGCTAAAGTGGCAAAGTTATTGCCATTACCGCCACAGCCACCGTATGTGAACTGACGACATTCGTTATTGACCTTATCATAGGCAAATCGCATGAACACCCCCGAGCATTCACCAATCTCGATTGGATGTTCACATACATTCATCAATATAGCTGGCTCCGGAACTGAAATAACTGTCTTCTTTATTATTGCTTGTTACTTCAGCCTATATTAATGGTATCCTGTGCGATTGATAATTAGGTAATCTGCTAACTATTGTGACTAACGGCCTGAACACGAAGATGGTCTCAATGAAGTATTGCACAAAAATGATAACTGACAAACGGAGACATATCAAACAAGCAAATACTGTACGTCCTTGAAAGGATGAAAATCAGCAAATTTGACGAAAAGCAACCTTGTGGATGGCATCGTTGTGCACATTCTTC